ACACTTTTTTATTCTGCTTAGAAAAGCGTTATTTTAAAATCTATGCTGTTTACACATAGGCTAAAATGAATGTTTTTTGTTGTAGAATGCGCGTTTTGGTTTGAATGGCAACAACATCTTCGGGCGCAGACAGCGCCGTACCACATGTGAATAGTAGTGCCACGGGTACCTCAGCTCCACGACAGACTACTGAGCGAGTGATCAAAAGTAAGTGTCTGAAGGAAATTAAAAAAAAAATAAATTTTTTTCTTACAGATTTTTAGATTAGGAAGCAGCTAAAGTTTTTTACTCACAGGATCTTTGAATTCTTTCGTTTTTTCTTTCCACTTTATTGTTTTTAACTGGTAAGTGTCATGTACGCCACACGATTGTTTTCAGTAATATCTTGTTGGCATTTAATGGCACAGTTTTTATCTTTGCTTTTAAAGCATTACTCTGAATTGAATGCTTTAATGCACTCGTATCCAGTGTTATTGGAGCATCTTTAAATAAGTTGATCATATAAAAGAGCATCATCTAATCCTTTAAAGCACCTACTTGGTTTAAACGCATTTCTGCTTCTCATGGTGCTAAAAGGACTTGCATTTTAGCTGTTCAGTTTCCCGTTAGTGAGAAGCTAACGTTCGAAGATGTTTACGATAGGCGTACAGGGAAACCTCGGGCAGAGGTACTAAAAGAGCATTTCGTAAAAGAGGGCCGTATAGAAGAAGAGGTAAATGTACCATTCACTTATTCCGCTGCATACTGTCCCATTGAAGTTTGATTGAGACACTAAATAGGTGTCAAAATTTTCTATTTTGCTCTACAGTTTAAAAAAAACAAATGCTTTTGCTATAGTTCTTTTAAGTCTTCCAAATTTTTTCAGAAACAATGGGAGTTAGCGTAAAATAGCGTATTACTTTGCATAGTCGTAATGAAAGTAATGGTGAATTTTTGAAAACCAGTATTTCTAATAATTGCTGGTAATTGATTTAGGTAGCCATACGTATAATCACAGAATGTACTGCGATTTTTCGACAGGAGAAGACTATGCTTGATGTAGAAGCTCCTGTTACTGTGTGTGGTGACATTCACGGGCAATTTTTTGACCTTATGAAACTTTTCGAGGTGATTTTCCTTCATAGTTCCTTCGTGCTACAACCAGTTTATATTACTCATTCGTTAACACTGTTGAGCGCGGTGTGATTCGATTCCTTGAAGTGAAATTTGTATCCATTACTATGAAATACATTGTAACATACACTCCGTAATTGGTTGAATAAAGATCGTATAAGCTTTTTGAACTTGTAAAAAGGAGAAATTGAAGTGAATATGAATTTTATGGAAAAAGCTTTTGCATTCACCATTTTGTCAGAAGTAGCTAGCTTATTTGGATTTTAAGGCAGATTTGAATAAGTCAGCCAAAATTATTTTCATCTTTATTTTCTCGTATGCTAACTATAATTTCAGGTTGGTGGGTCTCCAGCAACTACAAAGTACTTGTTTTTGGGTGACTATGTTGACCGAGGATATTTTTCAATTGAATGTGTTTTATATTTATGGGCGCTGAAAATTTGTTTTCCAACGACTTTATTTCTTTTACGTGGCAATCACGAATGTCGTCACCTAACGGAATATTTTACTTTCAAACAAGAATGTATGTAATTTTGCGTTTAGACAAAGTCTCAAATTTTTTACATCTTTCAGAGATTTTTTTAAGGTAAAATAAAATATTCTGAAAAAGTCTATGATGTTTGTATGGAGTCTTTTGACGCTTTGCCTCTGGCAGCTCTTATGAACCAGCAGTTTCTGTGTGTTCATGGTGGACTGTCACCAGAGATCCATTCTTTGGATGATATAAAAAAGGTACTTTTCCAACTTTTAAACCTAAATATGATGTGCAATTTTTTGTGAAGCATTGTTTTTTTAGGAATGATATTTCGTCATAGAAGTTTTTTGGGGTGCTTCTGAGGATTGTGATTTTTTTTATTCTGTTCTGTTATTGTTGCTGGTTATTTCAGTTGGATCGATTCAAAGAACCCCCTGCTTACGGTGCAATGTGTGATTTGTTATGGTCGGACCCCTTGGAAGATTTTGGCAGTGAAAGGAATTCTGAGCGTTTTTCTCATAATTCTGTTCGTGGGTGCTCTTATTTTTACAGGTACCATTTGCTTACTTTATAGTTCTTACTATTGATACTACAATTGTAGAACACAAGCTTAAACAGTTTGAGTAGTTATTCTTTTTAATATATTTCAGAATAATGCTGAACTTGAAAAATGGCATATGTTTCAAGTATTTGTTGAGATTCAACGTGACTCATTATAACTAACTTTCAAAATTTTATAGATCCTTAGAACTATGCGGTTTTTTCGTAAAAAGTACGCATCATAACTTTTTCAGCTATGCAGCATGTTGTGACTTTTTGCAGCACAACAATCTTTTATCTATTATTCGAGCTCATGAGGCCCAGGATGCAGGGTAAGTAAAAGTTTGTTTTTAATTAAGAGATTTTTTAAATTAACTAGTACTGGTGAAAGTTGACATGTTTTTAAAGATTGTTTTACACCTCCGTTTTGCCGCGAAGAGATGCGTCATATCCCTAAATGCATCTGCATCAGGTGGTATTTTTTACCATAGGATACCTGTCTAACCTTCCTCTCCTCTCGAAACCTTCTCTTGTACGAGTTGCGGGGCTTTATCTAGTTTGGAATTTGGAGTAAGCTTGTTGGATTAAACTGTCAGTCGCGCTCGGATCTGTGGTTTTTAGTTTAAGGAAAACGACAAAAATCTAAATAATGCTTATTTTAGCTTTTCGTGAGAGATGTTTGATAAGTATAATACATTTGCATTTGTAACTTCTTTTTTGGTGTTTTCTAAACTGTTCTATTCACCTTCTGGTAAATATTTTGCGTTCTTAATTATTAGTTTTTAAACCCTAATTTTAGTGTTTGCTTTTGAGATTTATTCATCTTCACAGAAAATCATTTTAGATGTTAGTGTAGTACAGTGAAGGCTTTTTTTGGTGCAAATCTAGACCTAAATAAAAGTCAAGTAGAAACTACACAACCGTTTTTAGAATTCAGGAAAGTACTTAGAGCGGAGTTAGAAGCTTTTTCTTATGAGAAGCAACTAAAAATTAGGACGTAAAAAGAGCTTTTAAGACGGGTGCCTTAAGTAGTTGCCAAGACTGGCCACTAAGCTATAACGAAGGTTTTCCAACTAAACGATGTTACTCATGTATCATTGGCTACCAGTAAAAACGTGCATAAGAATATTGTGCTTTTGAAGTTTATCTCGCAGGATGCAGATATAGATCGTCAGCGTAAATGATGGTAAATTTTTAGCACTAGTGAAGAAGATAGATTTCAAATTAATCAAACAAACAAAGTCATTTAAAGTATTAAAAAGCTGAAGAAAATCGGAAAAATAAAATTTTCTCTGAATATTTATGAGGTCTTCCAATCTCTTATTTAATTTTTGGTGAAATTATTAAATCAAACAGGATTACAAAAAATCTTCACCTGTAAAGAGTACTGTTTGTTTTATTTTCTTCTTGGATTTAAACCAACTTTTCTTCGTTCAGAAATTTAGTTTAGTTTTGTTTCTTTTTTTCTTGTTGTACGAAAGGATAAAGAAGTGGGCTGATGGTCTATGGGAATCGCAATACTAACACTAACCTCACATGCTCTGTTCTGTTTGTTATGCTGCCCATTTTTTCTCGATCGGCCTCATATAATTCTTCTTCCTTCTCTCCATGCGTCGCTTATTCGGCTGTAGGCTTTTTTTTCATCTTTGCTTTCGTACACTCGTTGTTTTTCTGCAGATTTGACTCATTTTTTTCAGATTTTTGCATAATTTCTATATTTATCCTGAAAATCGTCTTTTCTTCAAGTTAGTGCTTTTGTAATGAGGTTATTTTTTGTTTTTTGCGAACGAAAACTTCCCGAAGTTTCTGGAAATATTTGCTTTCGTACTCCATCTCACTGAAAAATGGAAAACTAGCAACTTGTTTAGGTCTTCAAATCTTTGTTTTCATTGCTTGCTGTCTTCCTGGCTCTGTGTCTGATGCATCCAATATGAGAGCTTTTTTCACCTTGTAAATTGGGTCTTGTTCTCCTCTCGTGTCCGTAGTAACAGAAGAGTAAATGAGTCTAGTGACGATTGACGAAAGTTACAGTGTTGGGTAAAGAGGGCTATAAGATTGGTGATTTTGAAGATGTAAATGAATTCAATTCATTATAAGATCTGGAGAAGACGGAGATTCAGAATTTATGCCAAATGATAAAGAAAGTTTGGAAGGTGTTTGCAGTATCATTAAAAAATTAATTCCTCGAGTTACCGGGGACCACAGATTTATATTCTGATTAGCCTTGCAGACTCCTTATCTCTTTGGTTTGTCCTCACAATCATTCCTTTTCGTCTCTACAAGGGACCTCGCTGAACCAAAATCTCTTCTTACTTGAATGAGCACCTCTCAAAAAAGTGTCCGGACCGGATATAACCTTGATATATGACGTGCAGATCTTTTCATTATTTACTGTAACATATGAACTTTCAGCTACCGCATGTACAGGAAATCGCAAGCAACGGGATTTCCTTCTTTAATAACCATATTTAGCGCTCCAAACTATCTCGATGTATATAATAATAAAGGTAGTTTAGTATTCCACTTCATTGTGATAGATTCGTCTATCACTTTTGTACCTTGGTTATTATTAAATCACAAATGTTTCAAACTTTTGAAATATTGCTTTGGAAGTGAGCAGATGAGGCTACACTTTGGTTGCTGAGTTTTTAATTCTAAGAAACTTTTTTAAAATACTTTATTTTTCGTTATCAGTTTTTGTATTCTTTTTTTTGATTTTTGATTCTAGCCGCAATTTTGAAATATGAGAACAATGTGATGAACATTCGACAATTCAATTGTTCACCTCACCCTTATTGGTTACCCAATTTTATGGATGTCTTTACGTGGTCTTTGCCGTTTGTGGGAGAAAAAGGTGAAGCACTGTCTTCTGAGATCTATTGTTTCACCAAAGCGAACATTTGTCACTAGCTTTTCTTTCATAAATGCGAAACTTCTAGATTGTAGAATCCGTAACGGTTGTGAATATATATTTAATATGCTTTCTTCAAAATTTACTTTATCTTCTTTCAAAAGGAAAGTGTGTTAAAAAATACTGATCAAATTCCTGTTTTCAGTAACAGAAATGCTTGTTCATATTTTGAATATTTGCTCTGATGATGAGTTGCTTACCGATTCTGATGACACATTTGAAGGTCAGTTATAAATTTTCTATAAGCGGTCTTTTGAATGGTCATGAAATCAAAATTCTTTGAATGGTTTTGAAATCAAAAACATTATTTTTAGGCGGAGTTCCTTCAGCCCGTAAGGAGGTCATACGGCATAAAATACGGGCGATTGGGAAAATGGCTCGTGCTTTCTCAGTTTTAAGGTGGATTTTTTATTTTTAATTTGTTTTTTTTCCTTTTAATGATTTGGCGAGTATAAAGAAACACTTTTCATTGGCGAGGTTGTCCCCTAGTTTTAACCATTGATTGTAGATGACCGTTTTAACAGCTTTTGATTTCGAAGGTGGCTTAACTGATGTGGTTTCGCATGTTTGCTTGTACTTTGTGAATATTATCGTTCCAAGAGTGGTTTTGGAAGTATAACTAGTTTGTAAAATGATTTTCCTAGCATAAAACTGATGAAGAGTGATAGACAATTAACGTGTTGCTGGATCGTGCGTTGCTTTATGTGTTTAAAACGTAATGTAAAAATAATATGGAATTTGAAGTAATTTATACTTTACAAGTAACTTGTGCTGAAGTTTTAATCGTTCTTTTCTACCGATTCTTTTTGGATAAAAAGAGGTTGCGAGTAGCTGGTTAGGTTGCTAGGACTGCATATTGTTCAGGTCGAAAAGTAACTTTGGAAAGCTATTTAAGTTGTAATTTTCAAATATATTTGCCGTTAGGCGTGAAAAAATTTGTAGTTTTTTATTTCGTTGAAATTAATTAGGCCCTGAGCGTCTTGTGGATTACAGCTCGCCATATAGCGTGGTTTGTTTTCACGCTAAACTTAATGTTTCATCGCGTTGCATAGACAAACCCTAGCTTTTATACCTAACTTTTATCCGTTTGCATGTGCTCGGTTTTTTCAGGGAAGAAAGTGAGTCTGTTTTACAACTGAAAGGACTTACGCCAACCGGAAACTTGCCGCTTTATACGCTTCACGAAGGCCGGCGTGGTATCCATGAGGGTACATTTTTGTTATTTATTTTGAAAACCAACTTAAATTTTTTTTTTGGTTTTGTCCTACTTTCAATTAGTAATTCTTTAAGTTGTAAAATGTTTGTTCCTGATCATTACCAGTGGGATCTGAATTGGTGTGGGTTTACTTCGCCGCACTGTATTCTTCATTTAATTGGATTCCTTACTCCGTTGATCATAACTCTAAATTCCATGTCTTGTTGTTACGTCGAAAACCATCTTTGTCGTCGTTATAACTGCCCTGTTGTTTGCTACAAAAAGTTTTTTCAGAAATGAGGTTGAGTTTGGTTATGGTTAAATCACTGCTGGAACCATTTAAAATTGTTTTCGTGCCACATATGTTTCGTCGTGAGATGAATTGAATTGTAAAGCTTGTGAAATTTATTTAAAATTTATTTACCAAATTTTGTTTTATCTTTTATCTTTTATCTTTTATTTTTATTTTTTTGGACTGTAAGATTTGGATGTTTTTGCGGAAGTTTGTTCGTTTTTCTATGTAAACTTTAACAACTCTGTTGTTGCTAACGACCCGTGGTTGGGTTGTAATCAAATTCTGCTCTTCATTGAAGCAATCTTGAACTGTTAAGAACAGCAAAGACGTCATGGACTTTCATTCGTCTAGAGGCTTCAGATACGAGACTTACTAACTAGTTCTTGTTGACGAGTTTTTTAATAGACAATTTGCTTTTGCCTGCGTCTTTTCATGGGCATCGTCTGGTGTGTTGTGTTTGAATGAGTGCAGATTTTTCTTGGCTTTAGTTTGGCAGGAATTTGTCTGTTTTGGCTTTATTAACTATGGTGATGTTTCTTCGTTGTAGGTTTTGTACAAATATTGTTTTTTGGGGGCTGACCTCTTAAAAGATACTAAAAAAAGTTGTTCATAACTTTTTGGAAAAATTGTTTCTACTAAAGAAACCGAGTCTCGTCCAACTTGGAAAATAAAAAAAAATTAGGAAACTTAGCTCGTCTTTGCTCTAACATCAAACATCTTGTTCTGCTTTTGTCAACAACTTCGAGTTTTGCTTCAATGTAGGCACGAGAGCGAGACCGTGCTGCAGCTTAAAGGCTTGAACCCAGGTGGGAAGTTGCCGATGGGAATTCTCTCAGGAGGCAAACCTGCCTTAGAAGAAAGTAAGTTCTTTTTTACAGTTTCTTCTGATGATTGCTCTCCCACCGCGAGTTCTGCGTGGTCTATTCTTTTACAGCTGTTGATTTGAAGTGGGGACTACCAGTTTTGGAGTTTTTTTATTTAATACTGTTAGTACTGCTAGAAATCGTTTCGATGTTCTCATTATATGCCAATATTTTTTTCGTTAAAAAGTTTCATTTGCAGTGGTTCAGGTGTCTCTGAGATTGAATTTTTTTCTCTTAAGGCTCATTTGTTATATTCTGCTGATCACTGTATCCTAACAGCTTTTAGTGTTTTCGTGACATTGTTGCTGTATCCTTTTTTGCCATTATCCTTAGCCATTCTGTACTCTACTTCTCACTGTTTTCAATGTTTCTAACTCCCTTGTTAAACTTTACTGTGAGATTTTATGGTTCTTAGAGGCTTTTTTGACGTGCAGTCTTCTACAAGTTTCTTCAATAATTGGTTGAATTTTGAAAATTGTTATTCCCATTTGTTGTTCATTCTATTTATGTATTTTTAGCATTGTCGGGTTTGGGGCCTGGGCATCGTATTCAGTCATTTGACGAAGCTAAACGTCTGGATAAAATCAACGAGCGCATGCCACCAATATTGACTTCATCTTCTGGGCAACCATCATCTGGAGCTTCATCGGCATCATCAAGTCCTCGGCGACCTGGGTCTCAGAATGTGAACAGTGCAAATAGTTAAGAATTATGGAATATATGTATGCTTAAATTAAGGATTTCATGTTTACCGTCTTGCAGTCAAAAAATAAATTTGCAGAAAAAAAAACATAGTTTTTGATTACGTTTTGAGCTGCAAAACTTAGCATAACTGTCACTGTTCATAGCTTTGTTAATAATTTGAGTTTGTTTTGTATGTTTTGATTCAGTTTGTAGTGAAATTCTGAAATTCTTTTTAATATCTGGTCGTTGGTCTTTTTTTTATCGAGTGATAATTAAATGCCGTTTTTTACCAAATTACGAGTTGTGTGTTGTAAGCTACTGTGCTATCATTTTCGCATTTTGTAACAGAAGTTTTCATTTAGTTCGCTATCAACTATTTTGTTCGTAGACAAATGTTTTTTTCTTCAGAAAAAAAAAGGTGTTTCAAGGGGTTTGGAAAAGTTAAGGCTTTTTAAGTTGTTTTGGTTGCAACTAATTTTGGTGTCTAGGGTTTCTGAAAATTCATTTAATTGTTTTTATTTTTTTTTTTTTGATGTGGAAGCAAATTTGAAAATGTCAAAAATTTTTTTTGTCGGCGCTTTCAGCGTGTTATCGTGTATTTGTTTTGATTTTGTTTGGTGTTAGAACAGTTTACGTCTTTTTTTCTTCAGATTTCTTTCTCTCGTTTTAGCGTTGTTTCAAGTTTTAGACGGCTAGTCGATAAGCGTATTCTTTTGTTAATTGATTCCTTTTATTAAAGATTTTTAGCTGATTATATGTGTATTTCATTTTGGAACTAAATGCTTACATCGCGAAAACCGCTTAGTTTTTTTTTTTTTTTTTTTTTT